TGCGTAAGTCGTCCGGAATCTCAAAATACAATCCTAGACAATTCAATTAATTGTGCAAGATACTCGAATGGAGTAGTGACCAACCATGATCTAATAAAACAATATCAAAGTTGAGATTATGGTTTCTTTTCGACGGTCGAATCAACAAATTCCCTGAAAGGACTACATGAGCCTCATCAAATAGAATAAAGGGAATAACAAACCTTGATGAGGATCCGCGTGGAAGAAACCGTGAATGTAGACTTGTTCCGAGAATATTTTCGCTATCTCTTGTGATACTCGGTTTCTATCTATACCATGAATAGCTAAGAAGTCTTTGTCGTTTATTTTCGCTCCCTCTACGAACTCCATGACTAGTGTCCGCTTGGTCGCGGATAGGACCTTGGGGACATAGAGGGGAGAGTTTGGTACTGATTCAAAATTATGCGACACCCTGGCAGCATTTGAAGCTTCATGGACAAAGTTCATTTCCAATGGTAGGTTCTCTCGCATTTCTCGTCCAAGCCATGAAAACTCGAAGTCGGGGAACAAACGCTTGACCACTCGGAGGGTGATGTCAGTGGTTACTAAACTACAAATTTCAATCAGCAAAGTGATGCAATTCTGTCGATATCTATATACCTACTCGACTGATGCGAACTCTTGAAGGCCGGGATGTTGAATCTTGACGGCTACCTTCTGGCCGGTCGCACGATGCACAGCGACATGAACTTGTGCCAGACTTGCGACTCCGATAGGTTCCGCATCGAACTCTGAAAAAATAGTTTCTATCTTCATCCCCGTATCCTCGAAAAAGACCTGCTCGACGTCTTTCAGGCTAGACTGCTCGCAAGAATCCAGGCAAGGCCGCATTGTCACTTGCCATTCTATTGGCAAGACAATGGATGAACTAATGTGCTGGCCCTGGTTAAAGATGGTAAAAGATGAGCTCTCCGCATTTAAATAGAGTATCGTAAAGGAATGGGACCTACCAGCTTGATGAAAACCCCACCATTCGCCAATAGTGCTTTTAGTGTGTATCCAGCAGCACGAGTATGACATGCTGAGATAGCTTCCAACTTCTCTATTTCCGATGAATATTCCTTTCCATACGTCTTTTTGTAATCCAGAACCGCCTTCGTTGCCGCAATGCTCACTCTGCCTATCCTGACAGACGCGATTGAAATGTATCTCAACTCGTCCCAATGCCAAACGAGTACGATTGCGCCAACGACCAAAACAGCAGATGATATCCTCTTTGGAGTGGCATTCTTGCGGAAATCGACGCGTCGCAGTGAGAAACCCTGAGGAGGGATACGTGCTGAGAGGCGAGCAGACGACTTTAAGGTACGTTTGAACGTCGAGGAATATGCTATCTTGCTTTGGCATATTATATGTCGGGCATTGGGAAGAGCCTGCATGCAGCAAGTTTGTGGTGGAGAATAAAACACAAAGTTTGCAGTCAAATCTAGTCAAAGTCTATAATACAGTAGTACGCCGAATCGTCCCTTCCTCTTACCTTTGATGGAATCCCTTATGGTGGTCTGCAAATCAAGTACTGCCAAAACCCCCTCTGTCGCTCATCTACTTGCTCGTGCATCTGCCTCTCCCCGCTCACCCCTCCTTGATCGTGAAGCTTCTGGCGACGTATTCGTTACATTCACAGACAAGCATCGTAAGGTCCTCAACCTGATGGTTCGCAATAAACCATCTCTTATGAACGGATCATTCTCGCTTTTGGTACAAAATCCCCGTGTGTTGGACTTTGATAACAAACGGAACTACTTCGTCCAGAAACTGCGTCACCGATCCCGAAGCGATCGTGAAAGAGAAAGCTATCCTACCATTGCTATCAATGTGCGACGAGCGAAGGTCTTTGAAGATAGCTTCCAGTCTATTTCACGATTAAAAGACAAGGATCTCAAATACGGAAAGCTGAACATCCGTTTCAGTGGAGAAGAGGGTGTCGATGCGGGAGGTGTCACTCGGGAATGGTTTAGGATTCTAGCTCGAGAAATCTTCAATCCAAACTACGCCCTCTTTGCCCCTTGTGGTGCAGATCGTCTAACTTACCAACCCAATCCTGCCTCATGGATTAATCCTGATCACTTGCGATATTTCAAATTTGTTGGCAGGATCTTAGGCAAAGCCATCTATGACCAGCGGCTTCTTGATGGGCACTTTGCACGATCGGTCTATCGTCAGCTGTTAGGTAAACCTGTCAACTATCGTGATCTGGAGTGGTCGGACCCGCCCTATTATAACGGTCTACGGTGGATGAATAAACGTTCTCTAGAATCTTGAGGATCCTCAATAACTTTGCTTGATTGGAAGTGGGGAGTGAAAATTTGGTGG